GTGCGACTCGCCCGGCACCTGCCCGGCCCTGCGCTGCCGATCGGACCTTCATTCTCTGCTTTGCTGAAGCGTATTCTGCAGGCGATTTTAAATAGGGCTTTCCGAACAGCTGAATCAGTACCTGAGAGAAAGAGATATATGAAATCCCTGTTGCCGCTCGGAGGACGGGCTGAATCAGGCAATTCCTGCTCTTCGCTCTGCTCCGCTCCCTGCCGAGCGGCACTGCGCGGGCGCCGGGGCCGGGGAGGAGTTGACGGCGGAGCCGCTTCTCCGCCTTGGCCAATAGTGACACCCTGAGTCCGTGCGTGAGAATCGCAGCGTCCGAGGGGAAGAGAGCAGCCCGGAGGTCCTGATCTGCCCCTCCTTAAATAGCACTCACACGCGGGTTGGAAAACACAGGTGTTGTCAAGCGGCGCAAACAGAAAACTTGTACCTGTGCTGAAACGGTGCATCTCGGAATTCCCATTGTGTGAATTTCCTACGCTTCGAAGCATTCTGCAAGACAAATCCTTCCCTATTACTCGGAGGATGTTGGGCAGGGTGTCTAGCTATGCCCCACCGCCATCTCACTGGTCTCTAGGGTGAGGGCGCGGGCGTGTCCCCGCTGCCGTCTCCTCACCCACCGTGAGAGAAACGGCAGGCCGGGACGAACGCTGAAGCACTGCTCGTAGATAGTGGTTTTATTTTCGATGTTTGGGAAATCCCGACATCGCACTCAGCTTTCCCACGTCGAACGGTGATTGCTGATGGACGAGCAAAGCCGGGAATCCCAGCCACTGAGCAAACCGCAGCAGACACAGCAGACCTATCGGATCCCATCTCTGTCGACATTCAAAACCCAGTATCATCGTATCAGTGCCCTACAACCCAACCTCGAATTTCTTTTGTCGGTGTCTCTGACAAAACACATCCTCATCTCCTAAGCCGGCCGGTACTGCAGCGGGTCTCAAACCTTAAGAACATCTTCTCGCAAATGTCGACGACAGTTACTGTTGCTTGAACAAGCCAAGAGAAAACAGACAGATCCCTCATGAAAAGCCATTGTATCTCACCTGTACATTAAAACCTAGTCTCTCTTATGGTGAAGAAAGAAAAAAAAAAAAGACCTGAAGGAAAGCTGTCATGCAGAAGACAAGAAAATAGTACAAAACTCTCTACACTACCTACCCGGTGGAGCAGCTGTTGCATATACACCAACACTGAGTCTCTAGATGCCAATGTGAAGACCTCCTCTCCTTCTCAGTAATTTGTTGTTAGAAAATAAGTTTTCCTGGCCATTCATCCAGTGGAGGATAATTTCTTTTCCTCCAGCTGCACCTATACACAACTCACGGTAACAAATGAATAACTGATCAGAATGAGAAGCTGGCGTGAACTGGTAGTGTTTCAGGAGTCAGAAGGTAGCAAGCGTGTGGGAATCTTTACAGGACGTCGAGAGAAGAATGTGGGTATTTATATAGGGACAGGGGGACTCTGTTGAAACATGTCAGGGTCAATTCACTGCCTCCTATACAGCGAGAATTGCCTGTCACAAGCCAGACACAAATTTTCATACATCTTCACACACTGAAGCACCCTCCAAATCGCTATTTCCAAGCGGAGATTGATGTCTCCTAGTTCCAGGACTTCCTCTTCTCCTTTGTACCCGAGCCTGTGGGCTACAGCACAGTTAAGTCCCACGAGGAGACGCAGCTAAGCACCAACCTGCATCAGAGAGGGAAACATTTTCTTCCCACGAGCATATCGTATGAGTTTGTGTCTGATGCATGGCAGCAGAAAAGAGTAACGACCACCAGGTTAGTTAAAGTGAAGCGTAAGGTTATGTCTCAGTTTACATTCCCACCACACACAGAAGCACGAGTACAGAGTCAGAATATTTTGGCAAGATCAGCACAAAAAATCTGTGTGGACCTTCATTGGGAACCTTACAGTATGATTTTCTCTCAACTTGAAAACAGTAATTTTTATGTGCCACTAGTTTATTTTGTTTAAAATGCAACAATACAATGCATCACCAGCTTAAATAGCAGACTAACAAACAATAAAGCAACGTAATATTATTCATTAATTATATTCCTGAAGTCTTAAAAGCCTGTTCAAGTTCCTGATGAAAGATCAGTAATGGAGGAAATAAGGCAGACCCCTTCCGAGACAGCTTGTTTGGTAAATGTGCTTTCAGAACAGACTGGCGTGTTTGACAGGAAAAAAAATGTTTAATATTATAAGGAAACCAAGGAGTAAAATGTTTTATATTCTCGGATTAACTTGCATTTCAAAATTTGACACATGATAAACAGACTGTGATGAATCGTACTTTGTTTTAAAATACTTTCCATCTGTATTCTAGTAAATATACTCTATTTCGATGCCTATGCCTGTACACTAATTGAAAATTAACATTTGTATCAAATCCAAAGGTTAAGTCCTGAAACCTGCCAGTGGGATAAAAATCTCGCTGGTATACCAGAGGAAATTTTCACCATGTAACACGAATCTATTCGTGGAACTTTGAGCGTCTTTATGTGAGATTGATTAATTCATTTCTTGAAGGTGGATTTCCAAGTCCCAGCCTGGGACTTCAGAGATGTTGGCTTTCAGGGTACAAGGTTGCCCAGTTCTGCCAACATTTGAGAGCTGATACAGGGGATGGCAATGAAATTCTGGAAACTGGGTGCTAGAAACCACTTAAATAGTTTCAAGGAAGTGTCAGAAGAAGGCCTAGAGAATGAAATTTCCTTTTGCAGCTGCACATGCAATGGAACTTTCTAGCCATAGAGACAGCTAGATACGATGAGCTCTGCCCAGCCAGTGCAGAACATGGCACACAGAACATACACAGCAGACTCAGCACACGATCAGGAGGTAACATCCATGAGCTAGCGACCATCATAAAACTGTAATTTCCAAGACCGTGAACTGTGCATTATGAAATGTCTGTGGCTACCGTAAGAATCCTAAGCACCGCGTACAGAAGAATAAAAAAATGTAACGTACCTGAAAGGAACCTTGGCCACGGTTC